CTGGGATGAATACAAAGTCAGCTTCGCAACATATGGCTGCCACTAGAGCCAGGTAACTGTAATGGTATGATATAAAAGCTAACTAAAAATATTATCAAATGAGGGGAATGGGTTATGGAATTAATAGTTTTCAACTCGAATGGATCGATGATGTAAATTACAATTACAAATCTCAGAAAACCTCAGTTGCGTTTTTCGTCTTTAACATCCATGAATAACTTTTACGGAGAACTACATAATTTATCCGATCAAAAAAAAGCTAGCATACTTTTCATTTTCTGGCGAATCTAACTACATTAGTGAAGGGGCAGATACACGGTTTCGATAAGGGGGAAAAAAAAAGGAAAAAAACAACGAAATCGATGAAACATTGACCATGAAAGAGATATTTTATCGTTAACTGGAGATGTTTAATTAAAGATAACAAGACAGTTCGAAACGTGCCTGCTGCACTGCTTTGCAAACCTCCTCCACCCAATCACCAGTCGTTGGTGCTTCAGGTACAAAGATATAACATACTTCTGCAGATAAACCTGAAGCTAACGTCAGATACCTGAAAGGCTCTAATTTCATTATCTTTATATCGTATCAACTAACTAAAATTTGTTCGTATCTCGATATTGTCAACTGCACAATTCTCTGAGATAAAATTCAATCTCAGACTTAATCATTAGATTCATTAGATATTCGGAGGGGGAAATGAAATTAATAGGACGTGATGCTTTCTTTGTGATATCGACAACACAAGTAAGCAATCAAAAATATGGGAAGAACATAAATTACTGTATTTGTTAAATTTAGTTAATGAAAAGCAACGATATGATAAGAAATTCGAAGAATTCCTAATCAACATGCCTGCTCCAATTTTCTACATAGTTTATCAGGCCAGTCAACAGGTGGTGGTGATTCCGGGCAGAAAACATAATCTGCTTCTGCAGCTAAAGCACCCACAATGGCCAGATACCTATCCGAAAATTTACCAAACTTGTAAATAACACTATAGAACTAAAAGTTATGTAATTTATCAGAGTCTACCCTATTAATAAATTTTCCTTTGTCGCCGAAGAGTCGTTTCTTTCAAAGGATTTTGGATGGCGCAATAGAATAGAGAACACGCTTTCAATTCTTTTTAAGATATCGTTTTCTACCGAAGCAATGAATAATAATCCGCTTACCCACAATGACGACCCATAACTTCCATAATGAATGTTCTCTGATGAGAATACGCAGTGCTAACAATCGCATCGATACTTTCGATAATACGATGCAAAGCGGAATCAGTACCAATGGTCATGTCAGTCCCGCAAAAATCATTATCGATAGAGCCCACCATACCGACGATGTGCAAGTGTTGATACTTGTCCGCCTGGTCCATAGTTATTTCGCCTAACGAGCAAAACTATTAAATGCACAGGCAACGCAACGTACAGGAACGGATAGGTATACGGAAGTATCGTTTATCTCACCTTCTTTAGCAAGTTCCTTAAGCAAATCAGCCCATTCTTCCTTAAAAAGGTTTGCACCGGTAAGAGAACCATCACCGCCGATCACAACTAAATTAGTTATCCCGCGAGTTACTAAATTCTTGGCGGCTTTTCTACGGCCAGAGCGCTCTTTAAATTCCATGCATCGTGCAGAACCTATAACCGTGCCACCCTGAAATGCGTGTAAAGTTAATACCATACGAGACCAAGTAGCAGAAAGATACAATGAAATATATACCCTATGGATAATACAAGATACAGAGGACCAAGTTGCTTCGACAATGTTATTTCCACCGTCTACCATGCCCTGATATCCTTCCTTAATAAAGAACACTTTGCATCCTAGATAAATACCCATTCTGACAACTGCTCGGACGGCAGCATTCATTCCTAAAAATAAGAATCCGATAAAAGTATAAAGATGCGTAAAATATAATAAGTTCCTTTAACTGGAATATCTGTAAATTTCATACCTTGAGAATCACCTCCACTGGTAAAGACGGCGAGACCTTTACCTTTATGACTACCAGGTTTTATAAACCTTTGAGCTGCTAGATCCTCAGCCATGTTTGTATCGTAGTACCACTTACTTGCCTACAACAGGAACAAGTTTTCCATTACCGATCCAACTATCGTATCATATTTTGATATTAATTCTTAATTCATGTTAACCAACAGTTTCTATTTCCACATTTTCAGTTGAAAAAGCTGTTAGCATAACGGTACGAGAACTTTGTTCTCCATTGCCTAACGAAAGAAAAACTATAGGTCCGTTGTACAGTTTAATCGATTTATAAAGAAAACTGTCCGATCGATAGATTACTTTTCGTTGAAACAAAAACACGAGAACGAGAATTTCCTATTCCTGTGTTGGTGTTCTCGACACACATGCACGAATTGGTATTACTGGTTTCAGACATACTTGAAGGTAAAATTAAACAAAAAATTTGTACCTGTGTCGGAGAATGATATTATTCCAATTAGAAAAAAGATAGAAAAACTATACGTACTGAAATATGTATTACCGCGATACGAACATAGCAACTAATTGTATTACAATTGCTTTCACAGTAATGACGATATAGGTTATTGGAATAATATGAAAATGAAATTCGCAACGACAAGGGTGTCGTTAAAATAGTAAGAGAGACACTTATCGGACGGTGATTACTCGATATCGATGACACTCGATGCACTTGAAGTGAAATTTGTCAATGAGATTGACGATAAATATGATAAACGGAGGGAAAAAACATGAATCGCGTACAAGATTATTTTCTGTAAGGGCATTGCAACACAAAAGATCGTCGAGTAGTCCTTCATATTTTAAAATAAAATAGCGTGCGCGTGCAAAGAATCAATGGAATCTGGCAGTGTCTCAAAGTGGCGCGCATCAAAACATCAGAACACGACAGCGAAACGTACAACGGTATAGATCATTTGAATTAGAATGTTCAAAGAGCATAGAGTGAATTTTCTTAGCGAGAACATTAGGTGTAACGGAGCGAGGGAAAGTGTAATCTGCCAAGCAAGTTATTCGACGCGCCGTGTCGGTGAAACGTTTAAATCGCTTTGAGAAACTATGCAATCCGAAATAGCTGACCGATGCAATGTACATGCAACGAACGTCATACTGTCACTGACAATTAGCCACTCGACTCGGATCGCGTGTCGCGATCAGAAATACTCGGGACAGAAATCCGTTGATACGTTGATAGACTCACCGAATAAAAATACTAGTTACGAGGGCAATTCGGGCGGATACCGTCTTCTCGATTTCAAAGTGCACGAAGAACCCGCGGTCATCCGACGAAACGTCAGACACCGCTTCCACGTCCTGTCTCTGACTAAACTGAAGGTGACCTTTGTGTGTGCTTCTGCATGTAGCCCCCACCACCATCGGTATCGGTTGCCTTTTCCACACCCCACTCGTCGGACAATCAAATTTAGGAAAGGTCTGTAGATGGTGTTAGTGAGACGCTCGCCGACCAATAGCCGGTCTTCGTCCGTTCCCGTCGCGTTTCCGGAACCGTTTCAAATCTTATTTTTCGAGCAACCTTTCCGTTTCACCGTTACGTTTCTCGTTTTACCGCTCGATAAGATAAATACAAAAAACCGTTCGAGCGAGTCCGACGTTCCGCGAATTTATTTTTCTAGAGGTTCCAACGATATTCGCGTGAATATCTCCAAGCGAACTCTCGCTTTTAATAGTAGAACACTGAACGCGATCGGGAGTTTCGCAAAGCACCACCGATCGAGACCGATCGATCTCAATTAATTACGGTCTAACCGAAGGACGCGAGAATAAAGAACAGTTTTTTTCCCCCCTCTGCCTTATCCATTGAAGCGGTTTGCGCGATGAATCGAAGGAAGATTCGGTGAGCGTGAATACGGTACACGGTACGTGCGATTCGCCTCGTAGTACCTGTGTTTCCATTCCTAGAAAGTTGCGTTACCGAGCGTCGTCAACGATCGAACCATCCCGCGCGAACAAGAAAAACCTACGAAGAGAAGAAGAAAGCGAACCAAGGAGAATGCACTCGTCGAAGGCACAGTTTTATCACGGCGCCGATAGAACGAGGGTAAAAATAGTCGAAAAGATCAGGTTTCTCGGCTTCCCTAATAATTGTGAGCCGTTTTACCCTTCGAGTCGATGATGACGCACCACGGGTTTGCTCGCGCGTGCGAAGTTTTATAATAGCACGGTAACCGGGTTGTCTAAGAATTTCATCAGGCATCGTTTCACCGTACGTAACGCGAAATATTCGATCGACCGGTACCGTACTTCTCGTTGCTCCGTATAATCCCTCCTTTCCCGGCCATCCGCGAAAATCGATGCGCTCCGAAGAAACCTCTGATAATCGTGTCGTCGGTGCGATACACGATTTCATCATTTCTCGCGCAATCTTAACGCCTCCCCTCGAAACGGTGCCGTGCGCGCGGATTCGCTGACCAACGAAAGCAAAGAAACGTAACGGGAAGCTAACGATCGCGTTAATGGCTCTTCTATTAACGTAACGGCGCAGAAACGATCGACATTCGCCACGGAACAGCTAAGAAACAGCGGTACGATCGCGCGCGAGATACAATTGTCCGTATGCGCGAGAACATTTATGTACGTTTCTCGAGCTTCTTTCGAATCGTTACGATGGTTCCATAAATTAACGAGCAGCGTCTTTTCTCGCGGTTCAGCCAGGTAAAGCTATTCTCGTTTCTCGGATGAGAATCGGTTGTTTTTCACAAACGATCGTTTCCAACGTACGCAACGTCCTACGTAAGAATCGCGCAAAAGACCTAGCACGATCGTAGGCGCTAGAAACGGTTCGGTAGACAGGGCTAGAAGGCCCTTTGTATCCGTCAAAGTACGCGAAATACGCGACGCGCTCTCTTTCTCTCCCACGGTGAGATTGCGAATTCGAGCTTGTTCGCTCAGGACCTCTCTGCTACCTTCCGCAATCTTTCTCTCGAGAAATGCTGCAATCTCGAGTTCGATACTCGCGCATCTCGGAATTCGGTAACGCCGCTGAAGCAAGGCAACCGAGGTTCATAGTTGTTTCTCTTTTTTTCAGACATTTTATCAGAATTTATTATTTCGTGTAAACGTTTATAATAATTATAATTTACAATTACGATGTTTGATGATAAATACAAATAGAACAACGGAAGATGGGAAGGGTAAACTAGGGAGATTGAATGGATGAGATAGGTACGTGGAAAAGTGGTATGCAAAGGCTAGCTTCTTCGACGAATGGAAAAGAAAGGAGAGGGGTTCGGGGAAAACAAGTGAAACGGGGAAAGGGAAGGAAACAAGGAAAGAGGGAAAGAGTGGAAGGGGAGAGAGAGAGAGAAAGAGAAAGAGAAAGAGAAAGAGAAAAAAGCGCGATGAACCAAGGAACATTGTAATTGGAATGAGATGCGATATTTCAGCACTCGTCGCGGTGCGCGTAACGATCAACGGTTCGTTGCTGAAAATGTAGTTCGTTAACGGTAGAAAGGACGAAACGAAAAGAAAAGGACACAGGCACAGGAAGATGTCAACTTATTAAGCGAGCAAATTACAACGAGGAAGGTAAATTCCCGCTGCAACGCGAAACCGATCGCACGCTCCCCGTGATCGCGGAGCGCTTACACTTACGTTAAACCGAGTCGAGTCGAACGAATCCGTTTACGCGATAGAAGATCCAGCCATCGAACGTCGACAGCTTGAGAATTGGGAGCGAGGTGGAGACGAATAAAACGATGGGACCGTATAAATACGTCGCGTGGACCCGCTGTGCGAAAACGAGTACCATTCGTAGTGTTCGGCACACTTCGAAGATGGAAATCAACCGCCCTATGATCCCTACAGTCTTTTCTAATCGCAAGATGCGCTCTCTCTCGCTCTCTCTCTCTCTCCCTCTCTCTCTCTCTCTCTCTCTCTCCCTTCTCGCAGTCCTCGATCGTGGCATTCTCGCTGTACGGGTCACGGTCTCTCCGTTATCGGCAGTCGTCGATGAAAATCGAGGTCCGATCGGCGGCTATCGCGGGAAAATCGATTGATTCCGTAGTCCCGCGGCTCGTTCGTCATTCGCTTTTGCTGGTTCGTCCGCGGTACGACGAAAAACATGGATACATCGAGCGTATTATAGTACACGTCGGGACACGTTTACCCACACACACGTTTTAAATATATCGATAATCGTTACTTGTTTTCCACATAGTATACAGATTTACGTGTCGGTGCGTCGTTGCCCGTCTCTCTCTCTCTCTCCCTCTCTCTCGGAGAGGACAGGCGTTTGCGCGCTTGTTCGCGAGGCGTTACACGTTACGACGTTACTTCAAAGTACACGCATTAGGTGTATTATTTCTGCTAGCAGCAACGACGGGATGGAACGAACCGAACCAGAGGCGGACGTTGGATCTTCGAGAATCTTGGCCGATTAGAGCGCGATCGAACGATCGGAAGGAACGATCAACGTAGCAACAATCGAAAAGTTCGACGTTCGTTTGTTCGCCGCGTTGTCCACAGAAAAGAAGAGCTGCTGATATTGGTTCAACATAAAAAAACAAACAGAATCTTCTATTTTATATGTGTATTTTTTTTATTTGATCGGAGAAAGCTAACGTTTCTCGCATAGAATTTATATGTAAAAACGTAAAAATGACTTTTCACGACCCTCAAATAATTAGAAGCAATTAGTTCGTACATATATACATATCAATCCGCCCCTGGACCGAATGTATCCGCTGCATTCGGATGCGTCGAGTGTAATTTGTCGTCGGATTCCCTATTCCCTATTCCATTATCGAAATGGTTACGCTTGTCCTTTCTCGCTGCTTTCTTTTCTCGAGGTTTCGGTCGAGGCAATCGGATC